TATAACATTAGAGAATAAACCATGATGGCAAAAGGGAATAGTGCTGTGAAACCTTCCAAGGGTGGGAAAGGCCAAAAAAGTCAACCGCCCCATCATCCTCCTTGCCCAAAGAGAGGAGAGAGAAGCTCAGAAACAAGCTCTTGCCCTGAAAGTGCAGTGGGCTTCTGAGCAGCCTGAATTCAGAAAGCCTGTAAGACAGAAAGATAGTGTCCAATCAAGCTTTACATGAAACAAATATAGCCAAAACCAGAAACTATGTCTCCTGTTCAGAGTGAAGGGCAGAGAACACAATAATTGGCCATGGTAGTGAAATAAATAAGTCATATCAATGAAAACTCTCACAAACAGAAACACCTTGCAAAAAGTTACCTTTAGTGTTAATGTCATTTCATTTGAAGTGTTATTAATGCACAGTGATTACTTGTACTTCAACAGAACAGGAAAGAGAAGGAGTGTTGTGATTTAGGACCACTCGTAACTGGCCATGTCAGAGAGACAGCCCATCTTGTAATGAAGGTGAGCACCTGTCCCAGAGTATGTTTTGTTACACAGAAACTATAGCATGATGTGCTATATTATGGTGAAGATTTGGGGTAATAATGCATAAATTGGAATGTAAATGCAGTATTTCAGAGGTGGAGGAGGAAAACCAAAGAAAGAGGAAATAGGGAAACTATTCTCTTTGTGAGAGAAAAAACACCTTTAAAAAAATTTTAGTAGAGTAAACGTTTTAAGTGCAGTGGTATATAATGACAAGCACCACTGCAAATGGCAAGTAAGTGAATTAATCCCCTGTTCAGCAAAATGTTTAAATCATCACCTTGACAGGACCATTCACATGCCTTTGGGATCAGGTTCTCAAAGGGAAATTAAGTCTTGATCTTAAAGCATTGGAGTGTGAGTCAAGAAACATACTTTTCAGGCTCTGCTTCAACACAGGTTTCTTTGGGATTCTGAGCAAGTCACTTATGCACTCTGTACATCCATTACAGCCATATAAAATAGTGCATCGCTGCTGTGCTCAGGGATAAAACCTTATAAGCACTGAGATGGTCTCTCAGGAGATTTTTAAGGCGCCTTATATAAGGAGAGCCATTTTTGGTTGAGACTGCAATACAAATAAGAGCTGTTCACAGGTATTCCCAAATCAAGGTCAGCAGACCAGGTCTGCTACCACATCCAGAAGAGTAAATACGCACCTTTGTTCATATCTCCTGATATAAATCTCTTTGATTTATATCTCCTGCAATCAGAATTGTGACTTCAACTTCAGACAGGTGGCCAGTCCAGCAAGTTTATTTCAGTACTGTGGCAGTAGTCATTAAACCTGATAATGGACTAACACTTACAGCAGTAAAGAACTTGCCCTGTCTGCTGAATAACTCAGGTTCTAGTGAAATGAGTGGATCCATCCTGGCTGCAGGCCAGCTGAGAAGTAGAAAGATTTATGAAAACTCTCAAGAAAACGTTTCAAACAGCTGTAACAGAAAGGAAATCCATGCAACATCTGAATCACAGAATTATTACCCTGCCACTCCATACAGTATTGCCAGGGTCCCTCCAGCAACTACATTATTTAATAGACCATTTAATAGACTATTACGAATCCAGTTGTCTTCATTACAGCAAACAGGCAAAATGCACAGATAATGGAGCTGTTTTGTGGGTGGAACAACTGCTTGGAACAAAAGGTGAAATAACACACAGAGAAGCCTCACAACTGGCAGAAGTAAGAGTGCATTATATGGGCTGAAAAACAAAATTTCAGATACTAAAAAGCTTCATTCTTAGGCTAGCTTCGACAGCAGGAAAAAATAAGTAAATCAGTTTCTATGAATGGGAGGGTGGAGGCATGTGGTGCTAATTACCTGATATGCATCACGTTTTAAAGTGCTTGCACAGATGTTGACCATTTTTTAGGGTGAGTCAAGATACTGTCTGGTTCTTCAGGACAACTGCAACACCTGCAAACAATCAAGATGGAGACAAGGTCCAGCATTTCACATCACTCTTGCTGCATACGGTGATTTAATATTTGTAGGGTCATGATTCAATCCCGAAACTGAGTGTGGATGAGCCACGCTGTGTCTGATCCAAGGAGGCACTGGACGCATGCAAGAGAACAGAGAAAAGCGTGTTCAGGAACATGCCGAGCGCTCAGCACATGACAGCACCAGCTCCTAAATCAGTCCCACCCGCGGCCCTGCTGAAGCATCACGGTCAGTGCTGGGTTTGGAGGCTGGAGATTACTGCACGTATCTAACAAACACGGCGCTCAACCAAAACACCACAATAAGGCCAGGGTAGTCAGGAAATGCTTTTTTTTGCTGATGCAAAAACTTTGCAGATTAAAATAGGGTCCTCTTCAAATGCTAAACTTGCAGCACTTTCCAAAGTGAGAATCGTAAAGTGACAATCCAAAGCGACTTTCCAAAGTAACAATTGTATCACAAAATATACACTAAAATAAAAATTTACAAAGAGTAACTCCCTTTTTCACAGCTTCCCAGCCACCTTGACTTCAGCAGTGGCTTAGCAATTGGCCCCAGCTGAGGAGCAGCTGTCTGAGAGATGGAGCTCAGAGCTGCAGGGCATTCCCTGCCTCCTGCTGGTGATAACACCAGAAAGCAGATTTCTTCCCCTTTTTGGAGCAGCAGCACTCTCCTCCATGACATCTGCCAGGGCTGCAATGGGGAGGAGGTTTGGGGTTCTTGTGATCCCAGGAGGAAATGTTGGGTGTTATTTCTTCTCCTGTTAACTCCATGCACAGCCAGCTCGGAGCCACAGCAGCAATTCCTCCTGATCCTAGTGTTCCTGTCGGTGTCCATCCCTCACGAGGATCCTGGGTGTCTGCCACTGAAGGGGCCTCCAGTATTACTTCCTGACATGGCTTTTAATGAATCATTAACTAAATATTAGAGTAAGCCACCCAAAATGTTTTCGATTTTAGTACTTCATAGAGCAAATTCAAGATAACTTTAGTATTTTCTATATTTTAATGAAGCAGAATTCAGGAAACGTAAAGTTTTACCTGTTCTTATGACAAGGCAGAGTGACGACACCTCTGAAGCTCACAGAAACCTCTCGCGGCATTCCCAAGCAAAGAAGAGGTCCCACTGAAAAGCAGAGCGACGCAGTATGTTTAATACTCCTACACAAATCAGGGAAATAAGTATACCATATAGCCTCAAAAGGAGTCAGAAAAACATATAGCTGTTATTTTTTAGACCCAAGACAGCCAGGCATTTTAAGCCTGATGCCCCACACTCTCTAAATCTTGGGGTGCCTTGGGGCTGTGGTGGGTGCGGACCCACACAGACATCCCAGGGCTGAAGCTGTCAGGGATCCCACACCTGGGCACAAAGAGGATTTGTTGTTGTTTTTAAAACAGTCTTTCAGAAGAGTTCCACGTGGTTCTGTATCGCTAGAAGAGAACTAGCCACTAATCTTGCTTTCCCACTCTCCGTGGTGTAAATTAAAACTCCTCCAGGACTGTTTACTGCAGAAAGACAACGTGTGGTAGTAACAAGCCATTTACAGCAGTGAACCCGAAATAAACAATTTGGACACTTTGATTCTCCACACACTTCAGCTTGAAAGGGAAGTAAAATAAGCATGTGGACTTGCAGCTCTGCCCATGTGCAAACAATTTTAAAGACAATTAACCTTTCATTTATAAGACTAAAATATAGTGCTGTGTCGGAGCAATCTATCGTGCCTGTGCTTATATCCAGTAGCTCTCACTTCTGAAGATAACTTAGAGAAAAAGCAAATCCACTCTTTCAGAGCCCCTGCTGTGTCTTGAAACAAACAGGAATCTACAATTATTCACATTAAACATGCTAATATAATCTGAACAGAAAATTGGATCACTAGGAAAAATAAATTCATATATGAAAATTTTACCAGAGCCATCATTAACACAGATCAGGATGTCTAATGTAAAGTGTGTGCTCCAGTGGTCTTAAATACAAGAAAAAGTATGTCCTGGTAAATTAGTTCTCTGGAGGCCAAAGTTGAGAACAGAATAAGAGCATATCTTCATTTTCAGCAAACATCAATTCTTTTTCATGGTAATATCATTAAACAATCCTGTCAGCGCAAAATTTCTCAGGGAGCGTTCCGGGACAAAAGTCCTTTTTCCTCCGGGATTTTTATCATGCCAAGCAATCAATATTTTAGCAATGTTTCACCCATTTAAGTGCAAGCCCTGCCATAACAGGCAGATGATAACGTGTTCAGAGCTCAGGGCATTTCCAGGGCATGTTGTCACCTGGTGCATCACCGCATTGTATGATGCGTTTAAACTTTTTCTTGGTCACAGGAAGATCAAATCACTAAAGAGGTGCTAAAACTGAATATATAACACTCAGGGAATATTGCTTGGGACTGTGCTTAATTCTCCCTTCCTGCTGAAGATGGGCAGGGTGAGTTCATGGTAAACAGATCCACTGGAAGCGCAGGAAACCAGCGCTCACAGCCAGACCTCGCTCCATCAAACCAACCAGGAAGGCATGTTCCCATCTGGATATTAAATAAGGAAGCGGCCCTCTGTTCTGAATGAGCCCAACATCCACATTTTACTATGCTAGCCACATTAACAAGGTTTTGCTTTTTCTAATTTCACAGTGTATCAAAACAGACACAAAATGTTCTAAATTACCAGTGCAAAATTGTAACCCGCTCTAGAGCCAACGACAAAGCCTGATAGTTTCCTAGGGAAAACACATTTTTCAGCAAAACTGAAAACTCAGAAAGTGTAAAATTTGTACTAGCATTTGCGTTGGCACCCAGGGTGCAGGTGCTGCTGCATGGAGCATAAAAAAGAGGAGAAAACAGGAGGTTTTCTTGCTTTGCAGTTGAGATTCAGCCTTCACCAGTTGTGCAAGACTCCTCACCTCACAAAATAATTTCAAGAGGTGGGCTTTGAAAAAGAAAAAGCATTTAAATTAAAAGGTGTCACCACCTGCACGTAACTAAATGAACTTGCTTACCTCGCGGTGCCCAATAAACATTAAAACTTTGGCTTTTATTTGTCCCAGTTGTAATCCATGGAGTGCTACCATGTTTCTTTAACATCTGGGACTCATCTTATCTCTGCTAATGACTCACTGGTCTGCAGAAAAGGCATGCTGAGGCGCAGATGTGCAGTGTCACACAGGCTTAATGGCATGCAAAGGGAACAAATAAAAAGGTACGTGTTAACGATTACGGGGGTAAGTGCACGCGGTTCAAAAGGTGGAGGATTTACATTGCGAGTGGGGAGGCAGCCAGCAAAGCGCTGCAGTCGGGAGCAAGCAGGGCTGACTTCCTCACTTCGGCACGGTTATTAGGCTGGGGAATGGGCTTTGCCAGAGATGCACAGTGCAAGATCTGCCTCCTCCGTGCCAACATCCACATGTTGCCGCTGCTCGTGCTGCACCCAGCTGAGTCTATGGAGGAGATGGGTATTTATAAGACATGTAAAGTTACGGTATGCAAGGACACATCAGTCAAATCCTATTTCTGCTAAAGAAAAGGGAGACTTTTTCAAAAGTGGTCCATTAATAGAAATTTGACTTTGCCCAAGACATGTATCTTTAAACCGCACCGTTGAAGAAAAGCTATTTCAACAAGTACTTCTTTTATAATAAATACAAGGAGATTCGCAACCAGAAAGGAAATTGTATTTAGGAATAAATTTGTGTTAGGATTTTATTACTAATTCATTACATTCTTAATCTGAAAAATCCTGAAGCAGCACAACTACTTTAGAATTATCATTAATAATTACACTGATACTGAATTCTTTTATGCAAATAGTACAGTAGACTTAGAGATAGGACCCTTTGTAAACCTCCTGAGTGTTTGCAGGAAGTTTAATTCATTTCATATCTCCTCTAGTTTGCAAATGAGGTGTGAAACAATTGTCTGCTTCTGGAAGGTGTCAGCATTCAAGTGCCACACAGAGTCCATACGCAGCTCCGTTAAGTTAATGGATTGGTATATACTGTCGTCCAATATATCCAATGTCACGCAGCATCGAGTGAGGTCATCCAGATACTATTAATTATTACAATTTACTGAGTGCTGACAGTGTGCGTGGCACCGTATGGCTGGCCTGTGTCACTTCGCAGTGAGCCTGAAGTCTCCGTCTGCTTGCCATCCCATGGGGAGAGGCAGCGAGGGGCACATCACCCATGGGAAGGGGGCCAGGCACAGCCCCAGAGCACAGGACCACGCTGGTAGGAAGGGGACCAGCTCTCTGCTGCCATCGGGAACGCCTCTGCCTTCCCCAAGGAGAGCTGAGCTTCTGAGCAACCATCAGGACAGCTGATTAACGAGATGCTGTAACCAGCCTCCCAGATACCTTTTTTTTAATTATTTTTTTATTTTTGTAAGGAAAGACATCTTGTTGCCAAATATTTCTGTGAAAGAAACAAAACAGTTTTGCTAAAGAGATTTCATTTGAATATGTTGTGTCTGAGCCTCATCCTGGAGTGTCTCAGCTTTTGCATCACCCTCTGCTAATGAGTTTATCTCCCTGGGTAGTATGTGTCTGGTAAATTTTTCAAGAACTGATCATTAGCAATGTTTTGTATATTTTATTTTCCTGTTTTCACTGTATATAGAGTTGTCATTTTTAATTCATTGCCCACTGGAATTTTATGAAGGAAAACTTGCATTCTCTTAAAAAGAATACGAGCATGTTGGTACAGATTTTAATAGAAACACACTGTGCTGCAGGTGAAATCTTCTGATTCTACCACAAGTACACGAGAAATTGGGCGACACAACCAGAACCTGTGCTGAGAAAGCACAGAGATAAGAAACATGCTCATCCCATGCAGGAGGAATATTGCAGCAACAGGTTAGAAAAGAGTCCTAAATCGTCCCTGTACATACCATGGCCACTGCAGTTTCTGAAGCACGTTGCTCCTTCTGGACTCTGCCACCAGATTAGAGAACTTGAGCTCAATAAATTGGGGATTTTGTTGGTGCAAAACCCTGAAAAAATCAAGTTTAATCCTGATTTATGGGGAAAAGAGTAACATAATCTTCTTACATTATCTTATTTAAAAACGCATAGCAGAATTATCAAGTAGTTTAACCTAATTTAGCTTTTTTTCTATTAGATTTGCAAAACAAGACTAAATAAAATTAGTGTGCATTCACATAATGCTTCTTTTCATAATGGTTCAAGAAAAATTCTGGCAAAGAAAATTCGATATTGTGATACTGGTGTTATAATGTAATACAAGTGCTCACTGTTAATGCACCTTATTTTCAGTTTACTACACCACTACATCAGAGCGCTGACGTTTTTCTCTATTTCATCATACAGGAGTTAGGTGTGACTTGCAGCTTGCTGCGGTGTCTCCCAAGTTGCAGCTGAGTCCCAAGGAGATCATTGTTTCAGTGAACCTCAGTGAAGTTCCCGTTCAGCACAGGCTGCATGTCCTGGAAATAAAACCACCTTTCCTCTCTTCTCAGCTGTCTTCACCCATTTTTTACTACTAGAGAAACACTGGGCTCTGTGGAAGCACAAAGCACTCCATCCCCAACACCTTCCCACAACATGGGAGACTGAAGAGAAGTCCTGCTAATGAAGCCTGGATCTATGAAGCTATATAGCACAGAAGCTGGTGGGTCTCGGTCATTTCTTCCTCCTCCTGAACTAAACCTCAGAACCACGAAGCTCAGAGCAAGCAGCTCCTTTCTTGCAGCTCCATTCATGGAGAGCAAATCTACAGCCTTTAAAAAGAACCTCAAAAGCACACTGATATGGGTTGCCTAGCTGCCACCTCCGAATTTGAAAATCCCAGGTTCAGAGTTTAGTGTACAAAATAGATTATATAAACAGGGCTGTTTTCAACGCACTTGAATCGGTATTTTAGAAACCATTTTCTCTTGCACCTTCGCAGTGAGAGAGCACACAGTCTGGTTTGGGATTTCACTGTCTGAAGCACTCCAGGAGTGCAATGCAAATCAGCTGATATCACAGCCCATCCACGCATCTTCCCGATGCAAAGAATCCAGTTTTCACATCTCTGAATGTGTCACAAACTAAAGAAAATCCTCCAGAACATCGCGCAGAACACTTCTGAATTTCTACTTGAAATCACAAACGTCTTCGCTATGATGCTCATTGATCATGAGGCCAAGCATTTAAAATATCACAACAAAACATACTGACAACTCCAGTGTCTCTCAAGGAACATACAGAGCAGAACAACGTGGACATTTTGCTGAAAACTGTGCATATTATATGACAGCATATTTATCTGTTTTTGTTCATCCTCTGAAAACACGTTTTATTGTGACTAAAGAAGATGGATAGCCTGAATAAGTTATTGGGTAACTAAGCCCAGATACCAGAGGACAAGGAAATATTTGACATCTTAGTGGTAATTTTTAATCAGAAGACCTACACAGAATAAAAAAAAAAAAAAAAAAAAAAAAAAAAAAAAAAAAAGAATACATAATAAAATGATTCCACAAGAGAAAAATGCATGACTTCAGTCTTACCTATAACATTATAAATGGATTTTGTCAGCTTGCAGTCTTACAAAGCTCGTTGATAGTAAATTAAATTTGGTCAGTTTATAAAGGTATTGCTTTCATGTTTCTCTCATAAGATCTTACATTCCTCCGAGGTTTGGAATCACCTTGCTTCTCCTAGCTTGTCTTCTGTCTTCTATTCTTCATTACACAACAGATGACCTATCAGATATTCTTCTTCTACTCCAACAGATTTCCCGTTGCCAACCTTCAATGAGAATAAAGCCTGCAAGCCTTTTTATCTTCATTCTGCTGCTGTTTCCATCGTGTGTTTTTTTTTTTCCTTTTTTTTTTTTTTTTTCCTAAAGATCGTTTGCCAGCACTGCTTTCTCAGTTTTACCCAGTGGAACAAGCAGTGTCTTCTGAACTGACAATTCTGACTTTTTGCTGCTTGTGATTTTTCTAAAGCATGACAACTACTTGCATGAAGACATGGCAAACCTTTTCAGATAAGGAACTCAAAAAAAAAAGAACAGCCTTTCAAAGAACAGTAGTGGTTACTGCAGAATGAAACAAGTCTCTTATGTATTAATTTAATTCAGTCATACCTTTTCCATGGCAAGAACAATTAGAATCATGTTGTTTTGTGTTTTTTTTTTTTTTAACACATTGTATTAAATTATTAGTTTTTTTTCAGAAAACGTGCATTATTATACAAAATTCAGAATGTTTTTTTTTTCTAGCAACATACAAAAAACTAATAATATTTGATATTTTTTATTCTGTATGAAAAATATAAATTGAAATAAGTAGAAATTGGATCGCCTCCGTTGTATTACAGGAAAAGGAAGGTTAGAGACATTATTTATTGAAGTATTATTCTCTGCGTGTATGGGATCTGCCACTTTGCAAATTAATTATTGGTCTATCAGTAGTCATAGGCAGGCAGAGATGGATGCCATGGTTGCTACTGGTTGGTGTTTATTCTTCGTAATTAAGCATTAAGGGGCTGACAAAGACCCAGCAGCATGCCCCAGCTTCCCACCAGGAGCAGGTGAAGCTGCAGAAGTGAAATGTGTTCATTCCTGTGCCCCAGGTGCCCTGGTTTTTCTCTGGCAGAACATACTGGCCATACATTTGGGTTTGATATTCCTTTAGCAAAATGTCTGGGAGTTTTCCCTCTCTTCCTCCTCGCTACTTTTAAATCGGAAGGAATTGTCAACTCTCCACCCTTTCAGTGCTCGCAAGGTGTAGGGTCTATTTTTCAAAAGGCTGCCCGGACTACGAAGAACTAAAAGAAACTGACTGGTTTCTGAAAGAAAGAAAAGGGTCCTTGAGTGCGTGCCTAGGAGCTGCTTCTGTAAAGCCCCTGGTGTGACTAATCTAGCAGTGTGAGTAACGAGGCGAGGCTGGGGAGGGAGCGGGGGCACCGAGGGAGCTAACAGCACGGCGCTGCCTAAGGCAACGGCTGGGTGCTGGGGTGCAACAAGGCAGGCTTACGGGCAGACGTGAAATAAATAAACAGTTCTCGAGTCTACAAGTCAGTAGGGATGGTTGCATCAAGGCCCTGCTGTGAGGGCTGAAGCCTGGATCAGGAGGATGTGGCTGAAGGGGACTCGGACGATGCTCAGGCAGCGAGGGATGCTGCCAGGGGAAGGCTTTCTCAGGTCTGCGGTTTGAGTTGTAAAAGAATTACTAACAGTGATGACAGAGGCGGTGTTTGTTTTGCACAGCTCTCCGTACGGCGGATAGAAGTTAGAGGAAAAAAAAAAAAAGCTGGATTCTTTTCAGAGTGAAAGGCATTGCCCACGCCTTTATCTCTGCTCTTCAGTGGGAGTTCTCATCAATACCCCACCTAGGTGAAACGCTACGAAGACATAGTACTGAGGACAGCTGCTGCTATAAATGCAGCTGGAGGAGGGTGAGTCAATAGATCCTTACCTACAGAAACAAAACTATTTTATCCCTCTTCCGTAATGGATTGGGAGAACAGCTATCAGGTTATATTATCTTATTGTAAATGTGAATGGAGGCAAATAGCCTTCTCCAGTGCTAAATTAAAAGGAGGACTGAATCAATATAAGTGAGAAGATGAATCAAGTGTCCATTTCCTTGAACTGATAGCAAATATAATGTGGTAATGCATGAGAAGCCCTACTCTAACATTGCTAGTGTGTAAGTATAGGGTTTTCACTCAGCGCCAGCAAGAGAATGGGGCTCTTCTGGCTTGGGAAGCCAAAAATGAGAGCTGATGTAAAATGCATTGCCAAAAGAAACAAGCACTGTGAGTTCAACTGTTTACCAATAACTTTAGCTCGGCAGCAAATCTGTCAACTCATTTGTTTTTCTTGTCTGCCAGACTGGAAGCAGTGCAAAACAGATCCTTTAAAATCATTTATTATCATATCTGCTATTGTCTGTGCATGCTGGCAGCATCTCCACCATAAGTGATGGCCCTGTAACAATTCCAAACTGGCTTTAGGAGTTATTTTGAAAAACTAAGAGGCAGCAATCAGTAATACATCACCTGCTATCTGCTGACTTGCCTCAGGCCAGGCAAAACAGTTTATAGGTGAGAGCATGCAATGTGACTCGATCACACCTTCCCTCCTCACAGTGTATCTTTCTTCTTAATGCCATCAGCACTGCCCATTGCCTTAAATTTTTCAGAGGATTAAACTACAATTGCAAAACAGTGCCATTGCCACTGCCATTATGTTTTCGGCAGTACTGATTAATCTCACAAGCTTTCAAACAAATTAGCAAGTTCCTCACTGAGATAATGTGCAAGGGAAAAAAGAGGTAAACGAGATGGTTATTGACATTATTAATGTATTGATTTTGGAATAAAGAGCCTCTATTCTGTTTCCAGCCCTGTCACAGACTTTGGATGTGACCTTGAGCTTCTCACTTCCTTCATCTCATTTCCCTACCTGTACAATTGAGACAATAATAATTCCTCACCCTTCACCTTTGTGCTGCAATGGGCAACACAGATTATCTTTTGACAGCACATTAAAGCGCCTTTCCTGAGCACACTTAGGTATGATATAATACAGATATGACCTTTTCCTCCCACTGACAGTTTTCCTTAAAAAATAAACATTTAAAAAAAAAAAATATCTATGTGAATATGGCTTAGAGCCTGCTTAGTATTTCAAATAGCCTTACCATATACTTGTACTATTGGTATCTGTAAAATCATCATGCAATAACAGGTTGGGAGGAACCTCAGAAGAATGTCTAATTCACACAGAGCAACAGTTTTAAGCTTTTATTCATAGGTAAAAAACTGCACAACACATTTGCCATTGGTTAATATGAAATATAGCACAGAACAGCCCAAGACAGGACTATTCTGCAGGACACCAGCGAGAACTCCTTTTTCAGGGAAACTAAGGCCAGTTCTCTAATTCTGTCAACAATGCTCATCGTTGTTTCAGTCCTATTTCAGCAGCCTCTATTCATCCTTTGATGAAATCCCTAGATCCACATGGCCTTTCTGGAAATTAACTGCTTCTCTTTCTCTTCCCTTTCAGTTATCACTTTCCTCTTTTGCTCTCTTTGCCTGACTCTGCTGGCCACCCAACAATGGACCTCGACCTCTCCTGGCAGTGAGGTCAGTGGCTGAGCAGCCAACCCACACAGACAGTGTAATGTCCATTTTTACAGAAGTGGCTCTCAGACCTGCCTCTTCAGTCACATTTTGCCTCCTTTCATCGAGCAATGCCTTTCACTCTCTCTTGACACCTATTCTGCCATGCAAATTCTAATTTAAAGTAACTAAAATTGGACTCCTGATGTCCTCTTAAGACAATCTCCTCCCTGAATTCACTGTCAGCCCTGTTAATATTCTCATCTCTCCTGTCATTCAGAACTGTAAATGAAGTGGCCGTTAATGATGCCGTCGTATCTTGAACATTTTAGCCAATTAACAGTGACTAAAATGACAGAGATGTGAAGATAATGAGTACCTGTGCCATTGTTTGTAAATGTATCCACGCTCAGCTAGAATTTCAATTTTTATCACTGAAAAATATTATCTTAATATACTTATATAGAAAACATATTGTACATAGTATGGACGTGCTAAATCTAAAATCTGGAAATAAAGCCTATTAACCATTACAGGTTTTCTGTAACTTCTCTGAAAAATATATTAAATATTAGAAAGAAATGTTTAGAATGGTCCCTGATTAGAATAAGTTTTTAACAGGTGATTGATGAATAAGATGAATAGGATAATAAGATGAAACATGAAAGTTTATATGTTAGATCTGCACTTTTAGAAAAGTAATGAATTCACATTATCCCTACATATATCTAATTCTTTCACAGCATTAGCAAGGTCTTACAGAGGAATTAATGTGTTTTTAAAAACTGTGTTATGGGTGAGAATGAAACTCCTGTATATTCAAACACCTTCTAGCAATGGGGACCTGATGCAGGTCACGTGCATGGTCCCACACTACCCAGTGAACACAGAGCCTACAGGTATCAATCCTGCTCAGCCCAGGCTCTCAGATACAGACCCAGGTGGAGAGCTGAGCACCGTGCAGATCGACAAAGCATATGTTCATGCACCGCAGGATCTCAGCAGTCATCGTGTTTTTCCCTGATCCGTTACCATGTGGTACTGTTAGGCAGAGAGGGGGAAAGAAGAACTAATAAATCAGCAAAGTGCAGGAGGGAGAATTATGGGCAATACTAGATGAAAATGTAGCTCTTGCCTGCAAAAAGTAATTAGTGTGAGGACTAGCACGAAGGATGCAAGCCTCTGAAGTTCTCTGCGTTCTTCCCATATGCACCAAAAGTTGTGTTCCTTGTAATTAAAAAAAAAAAAATCTTGTGAAAACTTTTTCTTTCTTTTAAATCACGGATAATCTAATATATCTCAGGTTTTATGCTTCCCTTCCTACTTGCTACAACAGTTTCTTAACCATAATAATTACTGACTTAGCCTGCCAGACTCTGTCATGTGGAGAAGCTACAAGACCCTTCTCCTGTTGCAAGACTGTCGTCCTGCTGCATCTCTCACATGCCTTCTGGCTGTAGATGCTTTCAGGATCCCCCAAAGGCTTCTTCACTCTGTCAGAAAATAAGTGAGCATCTTGTTTCTGTGCAAGATGTTGTTTTCTAACTTTTTTCTTTTTTTTTTTTTTTTTAATTTAAGGTCTGGAACAAAATAAGGCATTGTCTTGAAATGGAAAAAGCACACGCTCTGCTGTCTGCCAGGTCTTGCAGCTGTTTGAGGAACATCAAGTAAAGTCGTCCTGGCTGAGCTGTGCTTTGGTTCAGAGAAGAGCGTTCAAAGTTCACAAGGGGCAGAGATTCCCCCTGTGAAATCACTAATGGCAGGTTTGCAGAGTCCGTGTCAGTCCTGCAAAGATACTTAACATAGATCAGACAAATTAAAGTCTTACACAACCTCAGCTGGCTCATTTAATTCACTGTAAATGCATCTTGAAACTCCAGATGATTCTAGGTGCTTGCATGAAAAGAAGTCGGTCTTCCTAGATAACACAAAGGAAAATTCAGAG